CCTGTTCTTAGGAGATGGATTGAGGGGGTCCTATCATGCAGATGACCTTGGAGAGGGCTCATATGATACACAACCTCATTGGTACTGACCAGAAAATTCCTGACAGACTAAATTTCTGGGGAAGGTAGAAACTACAATTGGGTTAGACATTAAGCCCAAGTTTGGTGACTTGATGGAGCAAAAGTGACTCCATTTGTGGTTTTCTTTTAACAATATTTTTCACTTTTGAATATATCCATTTACCTGTTGATGAACATTTATTAGATTATTCTTTTTTTGACCCTCAAATAAAGCAGATCTGAATGTTTGTGTACAAGTCTTCATGTCATTCCTCTTGGGTAAAAACCTAGGGGATCAATGGGTGGTCATATGGTAAGTGCCTGTTTAACTTGTTAGTGTTTATCTAAGCAGTTGCTCCATTTAGCATTCCCACCAGCAGCGTGCAAGAGTTCTAGTTCCTCCACAACCTACCCCCACTTTGATGGTAAGTCTTTTTCATGTTAACCATTCCAATAGGTGTGTTGATACCTCATGGAGGTTTTAATTTGCATTTCCCTAATCACTAATGACATTGAGGATGTCTTGTCTTTTTGGCCTTTTGATGAAGTGTCTAATATTTTCCCCATTGTTTAATTGAAATTTTTTTTCTTATCATTAAGATTTGAGAGTCCTTTATATATTCTGTGTTCAAATCTTTATCAGATATGTGATTTTCAAATATTGGCTTCCAGTCTGTGGCTGTTCTTGTCTTTTCATTCTCTTAACAGTGCTCCTTGAAGAAAAGTTTCTAATTTTGATGAAGTCTGATTTATTGATTTTCTGTCTTAAGGATAGTGCTTTTGATGTAGTATCTAAGAAATCTTGCTAACCCTAAGGTCATAAAGATTTTCTCCTATGTTTTCTTCCAGAAGTTTTAAGTTTTACATTAAGTTCTATGATCCATTTTGAGTGTTTCGGTTTGGTCTTGTTTGTTTTGGCTCAGATTTTTTTGTTTTGTTTGCATATGAATGTCCTATGGTTTCAGCACTAGTTGTTCAAAGGACTATTCTTTCTTTCTCCATTGAATTGCCTTTGCACCTTTGTTGAAAATCAACTAACCATAAACATGCAGGTGCTGTATTCTGTTCCAGTGACCTATTTGTGTGTTTGATATATTTGCACTGATAACACATGGCTTTCGTTACTGTAGCTTTACAATAAGTCTTGAACCAGGTAATGTTAAGTCCTCTGACTTTGTTCTTCTGGTTCAATATTACTTTAGTCATGCTGGTCCTTTGCATTTCCATATAGATTTTATTTTATTTATTCACTTTTTGCAGTGCTGTGAGATGGGTACTATGTTATCATTATCTCCAGTGGAGTCTAATGTGGTGATCAGTACTGTGGGTCATGGGCTCTGGATTTTCAAGTACCTGGATTTGAATCCCATCATTGTCATTTATTAGTTTAATCCACACTACATACTTATTTAGCTTTTTTATGCCTCAGTCCTCTCATGTATAAAATGGGTTTGTTAATAATACTTAAACAGATGTAGGGATAGTTAAATGAGATAATTATATTAAGTTCCAGGAATACTAGCATTTTGGTAAGTACTGGCTACAATTGTTATCTCCATTTTGCAGGTGATAGAAGTTGAGTTGTTAAAGAGGTTAAGTACTCTCCTAAGGTAGAGTTTAAAAGTGATAGAATAAATTTATAAGTGACACAACCACAGTATTTGGACTCCAGACCCCAGCTCTTTAGTCGCTATAGTGTAATCTATCTTGTGAATTTTATAAAGATAATTTATAATTCTCATACAACGTTGCAATAATAACAATAAACCCTAGCTTGTGCCAGACAGTATTCTAAGTGCTCACGTATCTTAGTTCTATGCAATCCTCACAATTCTATGAGGTAGGTATATTGTTATCCCCAGTTTACAGATCAGACACTGTGATGTTAAGCAATTTAACATGCACAGATAGTAAGTAGCAGGACCAAATGCTATTTTGGCCTTCCTAAGTCCTTTGAATTTCCATATAAATTTTAGAATCAGCTTGTTTCACACACAGAAAAAAAAAAGCCCACTGAGGTTTTGATTGTAATGGTGTTGATTTTGTAGATCGATTTGGGGACAGTTGACACCATTCTAATAACAAGTCTTTCGATCCATGAATATAATACAGCTCTCCATTTATTTAGGCTTTAAAATTTTTTCTTAGCAATGTTCTGTAGCTTTCAATGTGTAGGTCTCACACATCTTTGTCAGATCTCTCCCTAAGTATTTATTATTTTGTATGGTATTATAAATGAGATTTTTTAAAATTTCAATATCTGATTGATCATTACTAGCATACAGACATACAGCTTAGCTTTGTGTTATGTTCTGAAACATTATTAAACTCATTTATTAATGCTAGTATCTTTTTGTCATTGTATAGAATTTTCCACATAGACCATCATCTCTTCTGTGAATAAACAGTTTTTCTTTTACTTTTCAAATCTGAATTCCTTTTATGCCTTTCTCTTCTTTATTGTATTGACTAAAACTTTTAGTACAGTTTCAAATAGGAGTGGCAAAATCAGACGCTGTACCTTGATCCTAATTATAGGGCTAAAATTCAGTATGTCAGCATTAAGTATGATGTCAGCTGTAGGTTTTCCATGGAAGCCGTTTTTCAAGTTGAGAAAAAGATTTTTAAAATAATAGGAAGTCTTTCGTGTTTATCTGCCTATTTACCTATTTCGAGGCTCTTTGTTCCTTTGTGTTGATCCAGATTTTATCTAGCATCATTTTCTTTTGATTGAAGGACTTCCTTTTTTAACATAATTAATTAAATAATTTAAATTTTTATGTTGAAATATAGTTGATGTACAATATTACATTGGTTTCAGGTGTACAACTTAGTGATTCAACAATTATACACATTACTAAATGCACACCATGATAAATGTAGTTGCCATCTCTCAACATACAAAGACATTATAATATTATAGACTTTATTTCCTATGCTGTACTTTCATCCTCGTGACTAAGTTACCTTATCATTGGATGTTTGTACCTCTTTATCCCTGAAGGACTTCCTTTAACAGTTCAGGTTCATCCCTGCTGGGGCATGTGTCAGAATATCCTTTCTATTGAAATCCAAATAATATTCCACTGTATGTGTATACCACATGTTGTTTATCCACTCATTCCTCAGTGCATTCATGGGCTGTTTCTGCTTTTTGGCTGCGATGAATGATGCTGTTATGAACATAGGTGTACAAGTATCTCTTTGAGATCCTCCTTTGAGTGTTTTAGTTAGATCCTGCCTTACTGTTTTCCATAGCAGCTGCACCATTTTACACGCCCACCATCAGTGCATAACGATTCCAATTTCTCTAATATCCTCACCAGCACTTATTATTTTCACTCTCTCTCTTTTTTTAAAATAGTAGCCATCCTTGTGAGTGTCAGATGGTATCTCATTGTGGGTTTGATTTGTATTTCCCTAAATGATTACGATACTGGACATCTTTTCATGTGTTTGTTCATCATCTGCACACCTTTTTTAGAGAAATGTCTGTTCAAGTCCCTTCTCCATTTTTTAATCAGTTTGTTTGCTATTTTTGCTGTTGAACCAATGCTTGGAATTTCAATCTTTCTACAAAGTAAAGTGAAACAATAAAAAGAAGAAGAACAGTGTGTGGCCAGGGGGGTTGGAGATAGAGAGATTTCTGGTCAGAAGCTCCTTCTCTGGGCTCTCATCTCTCCAGGCAGTATCTGCTTTTGTTTGCTTGTCCTCTTAACCCGGACACTTGAAATTCCCACTTTCTGTCTATCTCCTGGGGAAGCAGGTTGGGTTGGGCTCTGCCAGGCTCCTCTGCAGGAGCATCTACCTCTTGTCTGGTTTAACAGTTAGCCACGGTCTGTGTGTGTGTGTGTGTGTGCCCACGTGCCGTAGAAGGGGGACAATGTGCTGATTGGTGGTAAAAGTAAGAATATTTCTAGACTCTCTTTAATTTATCATTTCCTTTGAGAATCCCAGGAAGAGGCTGGGTGGATGTAGAGGAAGGGCTTAGCAGCTCCAGCCAAGCTGTAACTCTGTGAGGATCTTTTCAGCCCAGCAGGTACTGAAGTGCTTCTCCACTCTCACCTCTGGGGGTGTCAGGACAGAGACCATGGGCAGAGCTCCCTGTACTATGTTCGCAGGAGCTCCAGGGAATTCCTGGGACTCCTTTGGGGTAACCTCGTCCTTTCTGCCTCTAGCTCTGGAATGTGCATCCTTCCATTCTGGGCCTCCCCAGTGTGGAGAACACTGAAGGCAGTACCTGGTCTGAGTGGTCCAGCCTTGGTCAGGCATCCTGAGCGGCCTAGGTGGCACCTCCCCTGCTGCTTTGCCTTCACCATGGGCACTGTGGGCCTCCTGCCCACAAAGTCTCTGGGGTCCTGCCTTGCTTTGTGGCTTCACCTTCCTGGCTGTCCCTGAAGCAAGCCCTCAAGTCTTTCATATCAGTTTCACAGCAAAAACTCAGCAGGGACCCAGATAACAGGCAAGTATTTAGCAATGGAAGCTCAGCATCTCCCAGAAATATGAGTGCCCAGTCCTGGTCTACAGACCACTCTTGATACCCTTCTGCTCAGAAGCTCCACTGACCTGCTCTTCTAATTCCTCAGTCCTGCCATCACTCATATAGAGAAAACTTTGTGTGTCAGTGGAAAGTTGTGCATTGTCCAAACTCCAAAGGACATCCTTCTGGGTTTCCTGATCCCAGTTCTCTGTAAGGTGTAGATAACTGATAGCAACACAAAAATAATTTTTGTCTATTGATATGCAAATTCTGTCCTACCCTGCAGAGGTTGAATAGGCTTTCCTCCCCACCCCACCCACTTTGTGGAAAAAAACACTTTTGCTTGTATTTGCACATTCATTTCAATATTTCTGATAGATAAGTGTATCTGTGGTTTCTATTTTCTTTCAAATCTCTTATGACGTCTGTCCACTTCCCCTGTTGAATAGTGAGTCGAAGAAAATCTTTCACAGGTGCTCATGTCTACGTATGAGATTTGTGATTTTATTGAAAATTATTCTTTAGCATTGAACTAGATTATATGATCTAGGCCCTGCACCCAGAAAAGACCAGAAATCTCCAGCACTAAGACCCAAAAAGAAGCCTCTTCAGGGGGAGCTACAGGGGTGACCTGGTTCCCTTTCAGTTGCCCCCAACTTCCAGTAGAGACCTCCCCTCTGTGTCCTGGTCGCCACAAGGAGCAGTACATGTGGTTGGTGAACACGTCATGAGCACAAAGGTGAGATTTTTCTGTATCATTTTGCCCCAGAACAGTTAAAAAATAGCTCAGGATCCTGGCCATCCATGTACTTGCCAGGAGATAAAATGGTTGGCTTTTGAAGGTTTTGAAAATACTTTAGCTTTTTTAAGAAAAAGTTGTTACCGAGGGCTGGGAGGAGGGCGGGTGGGGAGGTTATGTTTAATGGGGACAGAGTTTCAGTTTGGGAAGATGACATAGTTCTGGAGATGGTACTGAGGGTTACACCGCAGTGAGAACATACTTAATGCCACCGAACTGTACATTTAAAAATTGGTTAAAATGGTAAATTTTATGTTATGTACACCTTACTACAATGTAAAAAAGAGAGAGAGTTGCTGGTTTGAATGCTTTTTTGCGTGGGTTCCTGTGGAGAAAGCTGAAATTGGACAGGATTTCACAGCCTTTCAGAGACTGAACTTTTCTGTGTATGTGATTTTTAAAAATAAAACTACCTCCACCCACCCCACCTCCCCAGGTCTCAACCAGACAATGACTGTGACCCATCATCTAGAGGCTCCAGGGAACAGTGTGAGCCGGAGACAGGTCTGTCCACAGGATACTTGTTGTTCTGGAAGGATTGTGTTGGTAGCAAATGACCAAGACTTTCCTTGAGCTAGCTTAGACAAAGGCAAGGGAAGGTACTGGGAGACTCCTGGAGGTGCTGGTTGTGGGGGTGGGGGTGGGGGTTAATTTCCTATGGCTGCTGTAGCAAATTACCACAGGTTTGGTGCCTTAAAGCATCACAAATTTAATCTCTTCCAGTTCTGGCTGCCAGAAATCTCAAATGGGTTGGCAGGACTCGTTCCTTCTGGGGGGTCTAGGGAAAAATCTGTTTCCCTCCATTTTTCAGCTCCTATATGCTGCAGGCATTTCTTGGCTCCTGGCCCCTTCATCCATCACTCCAACTCTTACTTCCACCATGCATCAACTACTGCTGACTTTGACCCTCCTGCCTTGCTCTCGGGAGGCCCCTTGTAATTCCTTGGGCCCCACCTGGTTCACCCAGGATAATCTCTCCATCTCGAAGTCCTCTACTTAACCACATCTGCAAAGTCCCTTTTCCCGGCTAACATGTTCTCGGGTTCTGGAGGTGAGAAAGGCACTGTTCTGCTCCCCATACCCTCTCATGGGCATCTTCACCTCCAGAATGGGGATAAGTGGTCAGGGACCCCTTTAGACAGCAAAGAATGAGGGCCTCCTGCCCACCCCCACTCCCCCAGAATCTACATACAGACTTTACATCTGGGCCAGGAAGGTGCCACCTCAGTGACCTCACAGTGTGGACCGCAGGGAGAGGAGCTGCAGAGCCTGCTTGGCTGTGCTGGGGATGAACAGCAACCGCAGTGGCTTAGCGGGGACTCCCAGCCCCTCCCCAATGCTTTGGCCTCCCAGGCCCCTCTCAGAGCTCTTCAAAGATGAGCTCTTGTTTCTGTGATTTACAAACATACCCAAACATCTTCAGACAACTAAATGAAGACAAATTAAATCTCTAAAAATCCCACCAACTCGGAGGAAACCACTGTTCACATATTGATGCACATCTTTGTTTCAGAATCACTGACATAGTTTTCTACTCTGTTTTCATCACTCAGTAACATGATCATTTTCTACCTCAGTACATGTAGAATTACTTCTCTTTCTCTTGGTCCCATAGTATTGAATAGAATAACGTAACTCGTACACAATTAACTACCAAGGTGCTTCTAATTTTTCACTATCATAAACAAAACTACCCTGAACCTCTTTGCCAGTTACCTAGGTATCTCCTCAGGGTAAATTTCTAAATATGGGATTGCTGAGTCAAAAGTACGTTCATTTCACATTAGATATTATTATGGGTTAAATTGTATCCTCCCAAAAGATATATTGAAGTCCTAACCCCTAGTACTTATGAATGTGACCTTTATTTGAAAGTAGAGTCTTTGCAGATGACCAAGTTAGGATGAGATCGTTAGGATGGATCCTAATCCAAGATGACTATTGTCCTTATAAAAAGGAGACATTAGACACAGGCACACAGAGAGAAGACAACATGGAAATGGCCAGAGCTTGGAGATACGCAACTGCAAGCCAAGGAACGCCAAGGATTGCCAGTCAGCACCAGAAGCTGGGAAGAGCAAAGGAAGGATCGTACCTAGAGTCTCAGAGGGAGCACGGTCCGCTTTGGTTTCTAGGCTCCAGAACTGTGAGACAATAAATTTCTTCTATTTTAAGCCACCCAGTTTGTGGTACTTCATTATAGCAGCCCTAGCAAACTAACACAGCCGTATATTGCTTAACTGTCCTCCAGAAAGGCTTTATCAGCTTAAATTCTCTTCACATTGTTATACACGTTTTTTTATTATTGGGGAGATGTAATCGTTTTCATATGTTTGCAAACTATTTGTATTTCTTCCACGAATTGCCTGTTTATACCTTTTGCCCATTTTTCTATTGGGATGTTCATTTTATTTATTAGCTTATAAGACATGTGTTCAAATTAGCAACATTGGCCCCATCCCATTTATGTACCAAATTAGTTATCTCTTTCAACCATGGACCTGGTTTCTCTTGTCCTTCAGAAACTTTTTAAAAATATAATTGAATTTAAGGATGCTTTCTTTTATGGTTTCTGATTGTATAGCCAAATTTAGGAAGTCTTTCCCCACCTGTGATAATTTTAAAAAGAAAATTATCCATATTTTCTTCTGGTACTTCAATAATTTCATTTTAAAGTTAAATCTGTGCTATACCTGAACGTGTTTTCTTATGAAAAGTGAGATTGGGATCCAGCTCAATGTTTTTTCAAAGTGACTAGATAGTACTATGAAATGAAAAGTCCGTCTTTTCCATGCTGATTTGAGATGCCACCCTTATCATATCCTAAATTCCCCAATGTACTAGAGTCTACTTCTGGACTCTTTATTGTGGTCACTGTCACAGTTAGTAGTAATCTACTCATTTGTCTCTATCCCCACTGAACTGTGAGTCACTTGAAGGCACAGGGTCCCGTTCACACTTGTGCTCAAAGACTGGCACATAGGAGGCACTCAAAAAAATATTTGACCAAATAAATGAGAACTAATAGATGGTGTCACAAGGCACCATTGCTGCCTTTCCCTTAGGTGCCCTAGCCCCCCAGTGCAGACACACACAACCTCTCATCTCCTGTGGAGGACCTGCACACAAAGGGACAGCTTCAGAGGCCATTAGACAATGTAGTGGAGGCACCTGTTCCAGTGTCCAACTCTCATTTGTGCTGCAGGCTGCGTGAGCTCCCAAGAAAGCTACCTGAGGGTCAGGACATGCGGAGCAAGGCCCTGGGCAGAGTATTTAATCATTTCATGGGGCAGACAACGATTATAAATCTCTATGGGAAAACATCAGAATCTAGACCAAAATAGGAGCTTTTTTTCTTTCTATTTAACATAGTTTGATATGTTGAACCATTCAAGTGGGGAAGTTGGTGGCCTGGAGGTAAAGAGCTCAGTATGAAGGCAGGAGGAAAGTCAAAACCACTGTAAGAGAGAGTTGTCCTTCCAAGTCATGACACCCTGTTTCCAGGACATCAGGAGCCTGGTTCAGTGGAAAGAGCTGTGCGATTTGCAGTTGGAAAGACCTCACTCAAAACTGAGTTTGCCAAACTGAGCAACTCTTTCCACTATATCAGGCTGCCCAACTGTTCCCTGTGGGTCAAGGTATCAAACTACATTATACTAAGCTTCCACCCTGAGGCCTCTACCCTCAGTGACCACTCTCTCTAAGGGTGCCAGTTGCCCCCACAAGGGCTTTCTTCCATATTAGGAGCTTCCACCCATGGGTTCTGGTTCCATTTTGAAGCCACATGATTTGAGCGGAACTTCCCTTGTGTGAGTAGTTTCTCAATTAGAAGGCATAAATCATGGCCCCTTGTGATATTTTTGCTGCCTGTATAACAGCATCCACCCCTTTCTTCAATTGCTCTTCATGGCAGGGATTGATTGACCTTGTGAAGTGCCACAAGTGGCAAGACCCTCATTTTATACGTGTCTTGGATACCTTGTCAAGAGGAAACAACAGAAGTTAAGTACCACCTGGCAGGATGTTGACAAAGACATTGAATCGTGGGGTGAGGAGTCGATTAAAATCCCTTCCAAGTTTCTGCTAGTCTGACTGTCTTGGGTTCTGTGGGTTTAAGAGCTGAACAGTGTGTGTGTGTGTGTGTGTGTGTGTGTGTGTGTGTGTGTGTGTGTGTCTGTGTGTGTGTGTGTGTGTGTGTGTTCCCGCCACCCCCCTTGGGAATCAGGGCCCCACTAGAATCCTGAAGGGAAAGGGAAAGCACCACAGTGACCACCAGGGGGCACCTGCAGCTCTCCTTGGCTGATCAGGGCCCTGCTCAGCAGGTGCATCTCAGCTGTGCAGAAAGGCCAAACAGCCCAGGCTAACTTCCTGCCCTCCTTTTATGGCGGTAAGACAATGGCAGAGCCAGGGGAAGAGTGTGGGCGGCAAGGACGAATTTATTAATCATCTGGGACAGCCCTGTTCAGCTGTGACACTGACCTCAATAGACCAGACGCCCTGCTGTGGAGCCCTGAACTTGACTCTTGGGCCTCCGTTTGAGGACACATTTCCCCCTGGTCAGCCACAACCATCTGCTGCAGCTCCAAACGCTCTGTCTTGGTGTATCCACATTCTCTCCGATTGGTGAGCTCCTACACAACCTTCAAGGCCCAATTCAAACACCACTACTGGGACCCTCCCACTTCTGTGTTCCCAGGGCACCAGCATTCATTGTTTTCAATAGCATATCCCCATGTGCCCTTCTGTTCTGGAGAACCTGTACTCCACCAGGAACCATGACTTGCTCAGCTCTGAGTGGACTTGGAGTACAGGGTCTGGCACAGAGTGAAATCATTGAACCTCACCAGCATTATATTATGACTTCACCTTCCTCCCACACTTTGAGGGACTTCCCTGAAGGCAGGCACGGGGTCTATTTCTTGTCTCTGGCCCTCAGGGAAAAGTAGGCCTTCAAGTTTGCTAGAATGAAGTTGCCTCCTTTGGTGTATGGAACTCGCTTCTCTCTGTGGATGACTTGCTTCTTTTCTTGGTCAACAGACAGGTACCTGTCAGGCATTTTCTGTTGTGCTCAGGACTATGCTGGGTACTAATGGCTGGGAAGGGGAGTTGAGGAGACCTCCTGTTGGGAGAGCAGACAATCACAGAAGAGACTCATGGCACAATCCCTGGAGCACCCTCATGTTTATAAATCCAAATCTTTCAATGTACAAATGGGGAAGCTGAGGCTCAGACAGGGGACAGCTTCATCTAGGAAGTTGTTGGCAAACTGAGACTGGAATTCTGATCTCCCAACACCCGGCTTCGACTTACTATGCCAAGTGCATTGTGAGAAGCAGTAGGTCTATTGAGTTCAGTGTCACAGCTGAACAGGGCTGTCCCAGAGGATTAATAAACTCATTTATTGGATGAATCAGTGGAGCACAGATCAAAGAGTCACAGCTTTGGAACAGAGGATGAGCTCTCCCCAGAGGAGCATTTATTCACTTCTCAAAAGGTCATTTTGCATTTGTTTTTAAGGAGTTTTTTTAAGCAGTTCACTTCCAGATCAACCCCAATAAGAAAGAGCCCGGACTTCGCAAATGTTCAGACTTGGGTTCAAAGTCCTTCCCTGGCCATGCAAAGTCGATTCATGATGTGACCTCCCAGAGCTTCGATGTTCCATCCATAAGTGCAGATCTCCCAGGTAAGCAAGGATGAGATAAGGCTGGGAAACGCTGGTTTCAGGCTCTGGCCCCCAGCAGGTGCTCAAGAATGGGAGTTACAGATCCGCGACATGCCGCTGGTTGGGTACATCTCCTCCCAATTCCAAGCCCAGTGATGTTGTCTTGGCAACTCCAAGTTGGCCATGGTGGGAGTATTTACATCATCGATATTAGCAAGCACTACAAATCAGGAATCTTTTTGTTTCCTGGGAGCCGGTTGGTAAACATTTACCAGACATCCCAGAGTATCAATCACCATCATTACTGAGAACCATGAGAACTTGTTCGCTCCAGGCAGTCACAGAGCACACCAGTCTGGTTATTTTTACTGATCTGACAGCTCACTTCAGCCGGAACAGACAACTCAACAAAATGGTTGATTGGCTCCCCCGCCCAAACCCACCCCATCCCACAGCCCCCATTTTAAGAGGCTGTGAGCCTTGCTGGGAAATGTCTCATGGTGTTTCTGGGAGAGACCCAACTCAAGTCAGACTGGGCGGCTGGCCCCATTTCTCGATGCAGCCGGCCACACACCATAGAAACAGGACTCTGTCCCTCGCCTCCCTGAGCAGCTGGGCCAGCACTTACAGGGTTCCCGGGGTTTTCAAGAGCTGCTCTCCTTGTGAGATGACAGATCTGCCACACATGAGTCCAGGTTCTTCCCCAGGCCTGTTTCTGGGTAGGAGTCAGTCCTGCCATTCTTCTGGAGCTCCAGGCTGCCACATCCAGGAATGCTCAGGGCAGGCTCGTCTGTGGGGACACCCCTGTCGCCCTATACAGTGCCAAGTCTCTACCCCAGGGCCTGACCCCTCCACCCTGGAATGGACCTCTGGTCGGCCCTGAGCACAAGAGGCAGTGAGAAGATTCCGGCTCCAGGAAAGTTTTGAGTAGTCACCTTCCTGGGAAAAGAGTTTGGGTGCCTGATGACAGTGCAGGCAGGCTGAGCAGAAAGGGGAAGTGCGGTCAGGCTGCACTCACTGCCCTGAGGTGGGCGGGAGGCCTGTGGGCGAGGAAGGCCTCTCTTCAGCCACGCCTGAGCCACAGGCACTCAGGGCACTGCTGTCCTCTCAGCGGCTCGCATCTGGATGCCTTGCAGCCCAGGTAAGTACCTGGGCATGTGTCCCTGAGAGTGACCACCTGGGTTTGGGCTAGGGATTGTGGCCTGGGGCCTTGGTCTGACCTCTGGGTAGAGTTGGAGAATCACTGGCTTTGAAGAATCCACTCTGCCGGGCACTGGCTAGGTGACCTCAGAACCATTCACCTCCCTGGGCCTCCATTTTCTTGCACATATGATGGCACAGTGAAGAAACCTACCTCTCAGGTTGAAGAGACATAGGACTGGGAATGAGCTGTGCAAACTGTAAGGGGGTTGTGACTGCTTTCTGGATTCCGATGGTGACCACTGGTAACTGATTCATGAGCAGACACCAACAGGTCTGGGGGTGGGGGGTCTAGGCAGTGGCTATGTGAACGCCGGGCTACATCTTAGAGCCCTTGGAAGAAAACCCTAGAACACCGCCAGCTTTGGTGTCTTTGTTGCTGTGTCTCTGGTGTTTAGGGCTTTGCAAGGCAGCCTGTCTTCCGAAGGACTCGGGATCCAGGTGGTTGGGCTGGGTCAGATGTTGACAGAGCCGGGCTCTTGCCCTCTGGAAAATTAGTACAGGGGAGACCTGGGTTTGCCTTTGTTGTTTCCACTTCACCTTGTCATGCATCATTTGTCCCTCAAGCCACTCCCTTTCTTGGCCCCTTTGCCCATGTGGGCCTCTGAGGTAGCATCGAAAGTGAGGATTACTGGGCCTGGAGAAGACAGGGCCTGAGAGCTTCTTTTTATGTTTTGGAACCTTTTTTCACCCTCTAAAAAGTTGAAAACTGCAGAAAAAGAGGGGAAACAATGACCTCAAATTCCACCATCTCAAAGAATTAGGTGTTTTGCCTTCTAGTTTTTTTTTTTTCAGCTATTTTAGCTATTCTGAGAAGTTTTTGTTGCTTTATTTTGATGTGAATACATTCTGGAAATAAAAATACAAACTTCACGCACCCCTGGTTCCCTCTGCCCCCTTATAAAACCAGTGTGATGGCCAGAGAGCCCCCCACTGGCAGGTTTTGCGCTTTCCTCCACACTCTTAGAACCAGACAAATCTGTTTATCTATACTAAGGTTAACATCTTTATCCCTGTTATCTATACTAAGGTTAACATATTTATACATTTAGGTTTTACTTCCTTTGGGTTACTTCTTAGGCTATAATTCTAGAAATGATATTATGGAATCAAAGAATATGACCAATTAAAAAATGTACCCACTTATTTTCAAAAAGATTTTTAAAAATCAATGCATACTGCTGTTGGCCACTGTTGGCCATGGGAGGAAGATCTGTTTTACCATAACTTTGCCAGAGCAGGATTTTGTCATTATTTTTTCATTTTTGCTTGCCAATAGATGTAGTTTCTAACTGTGGGCAGACAAATATGCCAGGGGAACAATAAAGTAGGATGGGTGAGCATGTAGGAACAGTTGAGTTCTGGAAATGAAATAGATGTGATGCAAGATTAACCTGACAGCTATGAGGACATGATAAGCTACTACACTGAAGGAAGAATGTGCCATCTGCATGGCTCTGCAGGGCCAGAAAGGGCATGTTCAGTTCCACCCTCTCCTCTTAGTTCTCTAGGAACCAGTCAGCCTTTCACAGAGGCGGGAAGACAGGGAAGGAGAAGAGAGGTTGGCTTCCTTTTAATTATGTTGCCCTTTGGGTTTTCAGTTGCCACCTATCAACTATCCACATGACCATGTTGAGTGTTGACATCAGTGAGGAGCTCAGGTGGGAACATGGGTGGTAACAGTCTGGGAACCAGAGGTGAATTCAGGCAAGAACTACTCATGCTGACTTGAAGTGCAGCCTAAGTGCTGCCTACAGTCCCCCAGGCCCCTGGGATCTAGGCTGAGAGCAGCTCAAACCCTCATTCGTGTCCTGTTGGAAGTCCAAAGCCCTTTCCGAGGCTCTGGTGGGCCCCCAGGAGGCCACCTCTCTCCCACGGTTTGCACTGGCTCCGGGCTCTGTGGGTGAGCTTATCACATCATCAGGGCTCTCAGGTCAGTCTGTGTCTGTTTCCTCCTGCTCTGACTCAGGGGGAAACCCAGCCCCTTCCTTGCTTCCCCATACCACCCAAACAAAGCTGCTGACTGGAGCACTGGAAGATGCACTAGGCATCACTGAAAACACTGGGTGGGGGGCCACAAGAGAGGTTTCTGATGCTGCAGTGCAAACATCTGCCAAATGAACATAATACAGCCCTGTTCTTAAAATGTTGTTGGCCATTCCACTGCCAAGCTCCTACCACCAGTTGCTTCTTTTGAATCATCCAGCTGGCTCCCTTCCTCCCATTCCTTCTCCCCCAGAACTCCAAATCCTACTGCCCAACGCCCAGAGGAATCAACCGTCTCCAGTTCCTACCAGCAACCTTCATTCCCTAGCCAGCCAGCTAAATATGTTAAAGGCAACTCATTCTATCTTTTCAATTTTTGCAATGAGATATAATTGATACCAGTAAAATGCATCAGTCTTAAGTATACAGTTCACTACATTTGACAACTGTATATACTCTGTAACCGCCACCCAAATCGAGATGTAGACTATTCCCAACACCACAGGAAGCTCCTTTGTGCCCCTTTCCAAGCAGACCTTTCCTGCCCCATTTTGGGGGCATTTCCTGATTTCGACTGCAACAGAGTAGTTTAGTCTGTTCTTGAACTTCACATAAAGAAATGCATACAGATTTGTGCCTTTTACATCTGGCTTCTCTCACTTAACATAATGTTTTCAGGATTGATCTATGCTGTGTGTATCAGGAATTCATTTTTAAAAATTTCTGGGTAGCATTTCATTGTATGAATATAGCAGCATATTTATCCATTATTCTGGATGTAAAAAACTATTTTTACATAGTTTCCCACTTTTTGAGCTGACATCAGTAATAACACATGCCCAGACAGTTGATCCTAAGACTCTGAGCATGAGCAAGGCAGAGGGGGAAAAACTTCAACTGGGGGTGGGGGGAATTTAAAAGAGGGGGAAAAAAGCTAAAATCAGTTTTAATGATACATTTAACATAACCCAATCTATCCAAAATATTATAATTTTAACATATAATCAATATAAGCATTTATTAATGAGGTCTTGTCTACTCTTCTTTCCATTCTAAGTCTTTGAAATCCAGTGTGCACTTCACACTTGGAGCACATCTCAGCTCTAACTAGCCACCTAGAAAGTGCTCAGTAAATAGCCTCATGGGGCCAGTGGCTGCGGTCTTGGACAGTGCAGACCTCAGGTAAGGAGATTTGTGTCCAAGACCACAAAGCCCTTAAGGCAGAGGACAAGGATCTGGACTCAAATCCAGGTCTTCCAGCTTCCTGCTGAACTGTTTGCAAATCCGCCTCTCCCTACAGAGACCTTTTTGAGGTCTCTGCCACCTCCAACTTCCTGAAACTCTAATCCCCCCCAACACATACACACAGGCATTCTACTCACACCTTTTAGGACCCATGGTTATTTCAAATCGTTTATTTTTCATGAGAAAAACTCAAGCTTCTCAATATACCAGGCACCACCATTAGTGAGTCTTGAAAGAAACATAAGGGTTTACACTCAGTACTTCTTTTCACAGACTGGCTGTAATAGGTGAGGAAATATTGGAGTGCATCATGTGTCATGAAATGTTTTATGAAACTTGTATAATTTATGGAAATATATTGTGGCTGTCACAGTGTCAACTGCATTTCTGACTCTGAGTATCTTGGTCAGAAAAAAGCAAGTGCTGAATAAACCCACAGTCCCTGGAATTCTCGGTTTTGGGGTGTGGGTGTGCTTTCTGTCACCGAGTCCCTGGAAATGCCTTTTGGGGAAGTGAGAGTTGAGACTGGGATGGTGGCTGCCTTTAGCTGCTCTCCAGACCTGACATCACTCAGAATTTCCATAGGCTTGCAGAGGAGGATGTCTTAGGTTACTAGAGGAAAGGGGAGCAGCCCACGAAGCTGCCATTCCACCCTCAACACTGGCGCAGCCTCTGCTTCTCTGCCAGCCTGGTTAACGCCAGCAGCACATGGCAGATGGAAAGCAGGGAGCCTGTCCAAGGTTGTGCCCAGATGAGGTGGCTTTAGAATTGAAAGGCACAGTGCCTGAATTTCAGACCTGGACCCAAACTGTCCGCCACCCTGCATCATTAGAGGGGAAGTCCACAGGAGCGGAGGAAGGAAGTCGGGCAGCCCTCATTCACTCACACATTCACAGATGTGTATGAGCACCTGCTGTGTTCCAGGTGATGTTCTACCTACTGGAAACAGTGTATTCAGTTATGACTGTCCTCTAAGGATTTTGGACAAGATTCCAGGAAGCCCCTGCTCCTGTCAATGCCCTAGGGAAGAAATCCTGAGGCTCCAGTGAAGTCATTCACACCCTAGAAAAATCAGTTTCTCTCCCTCCTTGTCGAACACATCCGCAAATGAGTTTAAATGGACGGGAAGTGGGAAGAAGAGCAAGTGTGACACTTTGCTCTGGAGAGAAGTGACTTGATGGAACAGCAGGCCCTGTGACAAGCAAACAGGAAAGGTGTTTGGGGTTCAAGGAGTCTTCATAGGGCCCTTCACTCCACCCACCTACTGCCACTGCCTGTGACTGTTGCAGGGAGCAAGCCTCCCGATTCCTCATCTGCCCGGCAGGGGGCTCTGCAGAGCGGCCCAATGCAGGGCTCCTCCCTGAGGCTGAGAACCACCGGGAGTGCTTATTAAAAATGCTGATACCCAAGACTCAAGCCAAACCTACAGGTCAGGACTGGGAGTGAGTAGGGACATAAGACCCTGGTATCCGCGTTTTAATACATTTCCCAAAACCCTGGCTTGGTGATCACAAGTTAGGGCCCTAAGGTCACAAAGACATGGGTTTGGTTTCTGATTTTTCCACTTACTAGCTCTGCGACCTTGGGCAAGTTACTGAACGCTTCTAAGCCTCTGTTTTCTTCTCTGTAAATGGGGTGATAATTACAAGCTGCCTTATAGAGCCATAGTGAGGATTAAATGAGGTGGAACACGTACAGTACTTGGGACCT